ATCTACCTGGGAGACTGAGGCAGGAGAATCACTTGAACCCCGGGGGGGAAAAGGCTGCAGTGAGCTGAGATTGTGCTGCTACACTCCAGCCTTGGTGACAGAGTGAGGCTCTGTCTAAAAAAAAAGAAAAAAAAGAAACCAAGCAGGCAGCCCAGTGCAGGGGCTCACACCTGCAATCCCAGCACTTTGAAAGGCTGAGGTCGGAGAATCACTTGAGTCAAGGAGTTTCAGACCAGCCTGGGCAACATAGTGAGATCCCATCTCTACTAAAAAAAAAACAAAAAAACCAGGTGCAGTGGTATACAACTGCAGCTCTAGCTACTCAGGAGGTTGAGGTAAGAGGATTGCTTGAGCCCAAGAGGTCCAGGCTGCAGTGAGCCATGATCACACCGCTGCACTCCAGTCTGGGAGACAGAGCAAGATCTTGTCTCAAAAAAAAAAATAACTCAGCAAATATAGACCCCAATTCTTCTTTCATCTTCTGCCCTGATGAGCAGTTCCCAGCCGCCCCACATGGTTAACAGCGGTTAATTGTGGGGAATGAGATTTGAGGAGAAAGATTTCCCTGTTCTCACTCCTGTGGTATAGACTTCATTACAAGTGTATTCTCAGCAGGGTGAAAATCAATTCTTGAAAAGGTGAAAACAGGGGGCAGTGGGGTGGGTGTGGCCTGGCAGCGGCACGAGGAGTGGGGCTGCGTGGCACCAGGGTCTGCGGGTAGATTGCTGCCCCCGCTGCCCGAGGGCCTGAGTGGGCTGCTGCACTCGGCATCGGTCGGCGGCGTGGCCAGGGCTAGCGGCACCTGGAGCTGGTGAAGTCGCGCATCCAGGACGAGCTGAGCCGCGGGGGGCGTGGGGGTGGTGGGCCGGGGGTGGTGGGCCGGGCGTCAGTGCTGCCAGCCAAGCCTCCCAGCCTGGACGCCGCGCTTGCGCTGCTCCACAAGGAGATGGTTGGTCTCTGCCAGCTGGACATGTCCTTGCTCTGCCAACTGTGCGGACTTTACCAGTCAACTCCGGAGTAAAAGTGGGCATGCCAGGCAGCCTCCAGCCCAGACTGCTCTTATTCTCTGGAGAATGTCTTCTTGGATGAAGAGGAAGAATATTTCCAGGAGCAGAACTCCCTGCGTGGTAGGAGGGACCGAGACCCTCCTCGGGATTTGCCACTGCCTGCCTCCTCCCTCTCCAGCACTGACTCGATGATAGAGTCCATCTAGACGGTCTCGGGAGGGATGTGACTGTTGAGAAGCCCTTCCTATCGGACACGCTGTCAGCGTTTGCTGCCTGTCTTGCAAGAAAGCACCTCCATTGCGGATGGTCCTTGGGCACAGGGGATGAGCACTGCTGGCTTCACTCGTAGGCAGGGAGTTCTCTGAGGACACATGGTGGCAATCCAGTTTGATGGCTGCAGCTCCTGCTTAGGTGACCGAGAAGTCCTCATCAGTATGCTCCACACCTTTATGTTGAGATGTACCTGCTGGGGATTCATAATGAGAATGTAACAGGCAGGTCTCGGTGGAAGGCCTTAGTGGGTGTTTTGTGTGAGGTGGCTTGTAGCCAGCCACTTTCTTACAGAGGGCAGAGCATTCAAACCGCCTTTGTGTTAGGGTTCCTGCTTCCAGTTTGGGATGTATTAAAACCACCATTTCACTGCTCCCTTCCTCTGTATGGTCTGCAGCTTTTCTTGCTCTTTAATGAGCATTTAAGGCTCCTGGTTCAGCTTTATCGATTTGTAAGCTGCACTACTAACTGCCCAGTGATTCGGTGAAAGCTTTTTTATGAAAAAAGTTAACATTTCTAGTCATCCCAATCAACTGGCTTTTCTCAACCAAAAATTTGTGTCATTCTTTGTCTATCAGATACAGAAGGAAGGAAGATAATATGAAGACATGTTGAAGAGTGAAAACAAAAAAATAACTGGGGCAAGCCAGTGTTCTGTATCGCTCACTGTATGATGGCTGTTTCCATTTTTAAGATTCTGAATGTAAACTAGTGTGCTAGGAAGCAAACCACCCTCCACGCAAACCAGTAATTACCTTAAGCCTTAATATATTTATTAAAATACTTTATGAGAACATTAAAAAAAGAAAAGTGAAAACAAATTGTACTCTTTTTAGGCATAAAGTCCAGAAAAAAGAACATAAAGAGATACACAGCATATCTGTGGTATTGAAAGTTCAGAGGTATAGGCCTGGCACAGTGGCTGACACCTGTAATCCTAGCACTTTGGGAGGCTGAGGTGGGAAGATCACTTGAGGCCAGGAGTTCAAGACTAGCCTGGACAACACAGCAAGACCCAATCTCTAGAAAGAATAAAAATTAAACAATTATCCAGGCATGGCAGTGTGCACCTGTAGATTATCCAGGCAAGGCAGTGTGCACCTGTAGATTATCCAGGCATGGCAGTGTGCACCTGTAGCCCAACTTTGGTGGCTGAGGCGGGATAATTGCTTGAGCCTGGGAGTTGGAAGCTGCAGTGAGCTGAGATGGCGCTACTGCACTCCAGCTTGAATGACAGAGCAAGAAGATCCTGTCTCTAAGATAAAAACAAACAGAAACTCCATTATATAATAATGCTACCTGAGGCCAGGTGCAGTGGCTCATGCCTGTAATCCTAGCACTTTGGGAGACTGAGGCAGGCTGTCTCTTAAGGTCAGAAGTTAAAGACCAGCCTGGCCAACATGGTAAAGCCCCATCTCTACTAAAATTACAAAAATTAGCTGGGTGTGCTGTTGGTGAAAAATACCTTTTTTAGTAGACAGGGTCTCACTACATGCAGCCCGGTCTTGAATTCCTGAGCTCAGGTGATCTGCCTGCCTCAGCCCCCCAAAGTGCTGGGATTATAGACGTAAGCCACCATGCCTGGCCGCTATCTTAGCATTCTTATGGTAGCAGTTTTGAGGTAGTGGTCCCCCCAGAGAGGGTCTTGGGGACCAGCCATGGGTGTCCCTGGATCACACTTTGAGAACTCCACTACACAGGTATTCTCTCCTCTTGACAGATGAGAAAATGAGACCCCAGGCGGTAATAAACCTGCCTGAGTCTGCAAAGGTGAAAGTACAGCTGAAGTATGATACAAAAGAGAGACATAAACCAGGCGAGGTGGTGTGTGCCTGTGGTCCCGGCTGCTTGGGAGACTGAGGCGGGAGGACTGCTTGAGTCTAGGAGTTTCATGCTGCCGTGAGCTATGATCACGCCACTGCACTCCCGCCTGGGTGACAAGGAGAGACCCCTGCCATCTCCAAAAGCAAATAATTACTTAATTAAAAATAGAACCAGGGAAGGTTTGCTTGACTCCAAATCTGTGTTCTTTTCATCCATTCTGGTTCCATCTAGAGGGCCCGGGGTACATATCTGACTTCTGTCATCATTTTTTTTAGGTGCAAGAAATGGAAACTGATTTAACTTCCAGCTCACATCAAGCTGGAAAGTCCAGTTTCTAGAAGCATCTCTGAAAATGGAAAGTATAAGTTTCTAGCACACAGTTCCACCAAGGGCTGATGATGAAGAGGGAGAAGAGGGGAAGCGGGTGCCCAGCCCTCAGCTGGAAAAAGCCAGTGTCACCTGTCTCTGCCATTTGCTTGTGGGATAGGTACCCAGGGTGGGGGCAGAAAGGGGATGTGTGCTTGTCCTGTTGTCCCTAAAATCCATGGGGCACAAGTAGGTGAACCCCAGAGTGGGTAACTCCTCAAATCAGCTCAACTGCTATCTGATCGCCCTGGAGTTACCAGCGAGTGTGTTTCCCTCACCATGTGGACTCAGTCCTGCCATGGCAGGGCTGAAGCTGACTGCAGATACACGTGCTCAAGCTGACTGCACATACACTGCAATATACATGTCCGTCTCCCCTTCTCTATGACGAGCTCCCCAAGGACAAGGACTGGACACATTTTTTTTTGGTTCCCTGCCCCCACTTCTTGACAGCAGGAAAAGAGAGGCACCTGCAGAAACTGTAACAGAACAATACAGTCCCCCATGTGAGATTTTTATTGAGAAAAAGAAAGGCAGTGAAGGCCTAGCATGGTGGCTCACGCCTGTAATCCCAAGCATGCTGGGATGCTGGGACAGGGGGATCACTTGAGCCAGAGTTTGAAGTTTGAGACCAGCCTAAGCAACATAGCAAGATCCTGTCTCTACAAAAAATAAAAATGAAAATTAGCCAGGTGTGGTGGTGTGAGCCTGTAGTCCCAGCTACTCATGAGGCTGACGCAGGAGGCTCACTCAGATGCTGAGGTTGCAGTAAGTTATGATTGCATCACTGCAATCCAGCCTGGGCCACTGAGCAAGGTCCTGTCTCAGAAATAAGAAAAGAAGGGAGAAGAGCAAAGGGGAGCAGAGGAGAGGAGAGGAAAGGGGAGGGGAAAGGAGGGGAAGGAAAGGGAGGGGAGGGTAGGGGCGGGGAGGAGAAGAGAAAGCAATGGAATCCCAGATGGTCCTTAGCACTCCTTTCAGAGTCTGCAAGCAGCACTTTGGAGGCACCCTAGGGAAGAAAGTCTGCTATGTTCTGGAAAAGAAGCATGAGGAGCTGGGTGCCGTGCCTCACACCTGTAATCACAGTAATTTGGGAGGCTGAGGTGGGCAGATCACCTGGGGTCAGCAGTTTGAGGCCAGCCTGGCCCACATGGTGAAACCCCGTCTCTACTAAAAATACAAAAAATTAGCTGGGCCTGGTGATGGGCACCTGTAATCACAGCTACTCAGGAAACTGAGGAGGGAGAATAGTTTGAACTCGAGAGGTGGAGGTTGTAGTGAGTTGAGATAGTGCCACTGCGCTCCAGCCTGGGCAACACAGTGAGACTGTCTCAAAACAGCAACAGCAGAGAAAGAAGCCCTCAGGACTGGGCTTCGGGCTGCCTCCTCTGCAGGCCCCGGGTCCCCTCTACCCATCCCTGCATGCTTTCAGACAAATACAGCCCTTCCTTCAGGGCAACGGGGAAAAGCTGCAGCAGACAGGAATGGGCTATGCAGGAACAGCAGGTGCTGTGGCCCCTCCCGAGCCTGCGGGGAAATGCTGCAGATCTGCGACCTCGCACAGATGGATGGAGGGATGGACATTGGACAACAGACAGGCAGCAGGGATCCCAGGCTGGGCCCCGGAGCATGAGCCACTGTGCAATCATCACAGCAGGTGCTACCATCCATGGTGTTCTAGGAATCTAAGTCAGTCTCATATGCTGGATGGCAAGCCAGAAGCAGATGCCAATCTCGGACTGGGCAGAAGGCCATGCAATCCTGCACACCACCACCCTCCCTTTGCCTTCAATCAGAATTGCCTTTTATCGGCAAGTTGATGGTTAACAGCTGGATGGCTGGGTCAAAGGACTAGAGGGGGAAGCACCAGAAACACCAGGTGCAGGAGGACAGATGAGATGAGAGCTGGGTTCAAAACCCTGGGCTCTGGGGCAGGTGCTCAGTTTAGGGAAGTGGAGAGGCGGGGCCAGGGCCAGGGGCTTTGCAAAGGTGAAAGGGGGGCCTGGGTAGGGCGGGCATCATGGAAAGCGCTTCCATAAAGAGCATGTGCAGCTCACTCTGCTCCACAAGGGAGGATGCGCTGTCCACCCTGCTCTTTCTCTCTCCTTCCTTCCTTGCTTTATCTTTCTTTCTTTCTCTCTTTCTCTTCCTTTTTTCTTCCTTTCCATTCTTTCTTTCCTTCCTTCTTTCTCTGCTCAGTCTTTTCTTCTTTCTTTTTCCTTTCTTTCTTTCTCTGCCCACCCATTTCTCTCTTTTTCTTTTTTACTTCATTCTTTCTTTCTTCCTTTCTCTTTCATTCTTTGTCTCCTTCTTTCTTTCTTTCTTTTTCTTTCTTTCTTCTCTCTTTCTTTCCTCTCTCACATTCTTTCTGTCTCTTCCTTCCTTCCTTTCTCCTTTCTTTCCCTCCCTCACTTCTTTTTTCTTTCCTTCCTCTCTCTTTCTTTTTTTTTAGACAGAATTTCAATCTCTCTACCCAGGCTGGAGCATAATGGCACAATCTCAGCTCACTGAAACCCCCACCTCCCTGGTTCAAGTGATTCTCCTACCTCAGCCTCCTAAATAGCTGGGATTACAGGTACATGTGCCACTGTGCCTGGCTAATTTTTGTATTTTTAGTAGAGATGGGGTTTCATCATGTTGGCTAGGCTGGTCTTGAACTCCCAACCTCGGGTGATCTGCTGCCTCAGCCTCCCAAAGTGCTAGGATGACAGGTGTGAACCACAGCACCCAGCCTATTTCTTTCTTTTAAGAGACAAGGTCTTGCTCTGTTGCCCAGGCTGGAGTGTACTGGTGCCATTTCAGTTCACTACAGTCTTGATCTCCTGGGTTTGTGCAATCCTCCCACCTCAGCCTCCCAAGTAGCTGGGATGACCCCCCAATAAATCCAGCCGTATTTTTTTTTCTGCAAAGACAATGGGGATCAGGGATTCATGTGTTGCCCAGGTTGGTCTTGACCTATTGGACTCAAGCAATCCTCCCACCTCAGCCTCCCAAGGTGTTGGGATTATAAGCATTAGCCACTGTGCCAGGCTGCCCACCTTTTTATTCATCATAATTATTATTACTATTTTGGGAAAGTATCTGGCTCTGTAACCCAGGCTGGAGTGCAGTGGCACAATCACAGATCAGTGCAGCCTCCAATTCCTGGGCTCCAGCAATCCTCCTGCCTCAGCCTCCTGAGTATCTGGGAACATAGGCACATGCCACCATGCCTGGCTAATTGTCTTTTTTTTTTTTTTTTTTTTTTTTGAGATAGAGTCTTGCCCTGTCACCCAGGCTGTAGTGTAATGGCAGAATCTTGGCCTATCACAACATCCGCCTCCCACGTTCAACTGATTCTCCTGCCTCAGCCTCTCTAGTAGCTGGGATTACAGGTGTCCACCACCATGCCCAGCTAATCTTTTGTATCTTTAGTGGAGATGAGGTTTCACCATGTTGGCCAGGTTGGTCTCGAACTCCTGACCTCATGATCCACCTGCCTAGGCCTCCAAAGTGCTGGGATTACAGGCATGGGTCACCATGTCTGGCTAATTTGTTTTTTTTTTTTAATCTGTAGAGACAAAGTCTTGCCTTGTTGCCCAGGCTGGTCTTGAACTCCTGGGCTCAAATGATCTTCCTGCCTTGGCCTCCCAAAGTGCTGGAATCACAGGCCTGAGCCACAATGACTGACTGTCCACCCTTTTATTATTTTACTTTATTTGGCTGATTTTGTATTTTTAGTAGAGATGGGGTTTCTCCATATTGGTCAGGCTGGTCTTGAACTCCTGACCTCAGGTGATCTGCCTGCCTCCACCTCCTAAAGTTCTGGGATTACAGGTGTGAGCCACCTCACCCAGCCCTTTTCTTATTTTTAGAGGTGGGTTAAATTCTTCGCCTGGTGTCCTGTGGCACATGCAGAGCCAGGGTCCACAGTGAGTCTCCTAGCTCCAAAGCCTGTTCTTTCTATTCCACCAGCTGGAGAGAGGGAGCTGATGCCAGAATGAAGGGGAAACCCTGGAGCTTATGGCATTGGTGGGGCCACCATCGGGTGGGACCACCGTGACTCTCTGTGGCTGAAAATTCCAAACAGAGCAGCCCAAGGAACCCAGCTATCCCCTAGGGTTCAGAAATGCAAATCAGGGCTGTGTATTCACAGCCTGGACTGGACACTGACCAAAAATCTGCAGGACTCCCCCTTGTGGGGTGGAGGCTAAATTTGGGAGACCAACCTTCTGGAGAATGCAGGGACTGGGGCAGCCCTTGCAGCCACGAGGATCATCTTGGCTCATTTTTATTCACCATTCATAGATTTCCCCATTTTTTGTAGTATATTCAAGCTGGAAAGGATTTCAGAGTTTGTGTCACCTAGATTTATTTTACAGACAGAGGAACTAAGCCTTTAAGGGAGAGGTGACTGTTTTGACACACTGAATGTTTTCTTAGCCAGGTGCAGTGTAATTTGCCTGTATTCTAGCACTTTGGGAGGCCAAGGCAGGAGGATCGCTTGAGGCCAGCAATCTGAGACCAGCCTGGGCCACATAGCAAGACCCCATCACTACAAAAAATAAAAATAAATTAGCCCAATGTGGTGGCATATGCCTGTCATCCCAGCTACGCTGGAGGCTGAAGCAGGAGGACTGCTTGAGCCAGAAGGTCAAGGCTGCAGGCTATGATTGAACCACTGCACTCCAGCCTGGGCAACAGAGCAAGATCCTGCCTCAAAAAAAAAAAAAAAAACAGAGGCTGGGCACTGTGGCTCGTGCCTATTATCTCAGTACTTTGGGAGGCTGAGGTGGACAGATCATGAGGTTAGGAGTCTGAGATCAGCCTGGTCAACAGGATAAAACCCCATCTCTACTAAAAAATATAAAAATTAGCCCAGTGTGGTGGCTCACACCTATAGTCCCAGCTACTTGGAAGGCTAAGGCGGGAGAATCACTTCAGGTTACAGTGAGTCAAGATCACACCACTGCACTCCAGCCTGAGCAATAGCAAAATTCTGTCAAAACCAAAACAAAAAGGAATGAATGAATGATAGAATGAAAGGAAGGAAGGAAGGAAG